CGGGTGGGTTTTTTTCTTCAGACAATCTTTGACTTTTTAACTAGCCATTTTTGACGGAACTTTTTATCCCATTCAAAAGCTATTGTTGTCTTGAGCTTAAATCTGATGATTTTTTCCAATGTTTTGAGAGATTTGCATTCCAAGAACACCAAGGTGAATATATTTAGCTGCGGTGTAGTAACTTTTTTTTGGAAACAATCTTTGGAAACTACTGCACAGAATGTTGAAGAAAATATTTATGAATCAAGTTAACTTTCTCACTCTTTTCCGGCGAAAATATCAGTTTGGCTGCAGTTCATTGCTCTAAACTCAAATTCATTTTTCAAGCTAATTTTTAGTCAATTGATTCTTAACAATTTAAGCCAAAATGTCCTTTTTAATCCGACTTTCGATACGAAAGTAACGGAATATTTGTGCTCGGGGTGGGTTTTTTTTTTCTTCAGACAAATTTCGACTTTTCAACTAGCCATTTTTATATCATTCGATAGCTATTGTTGTCCTGAGCTTAAACTTGAAATTTATGGGGCTTTATGGATTGCCATTTTGGACAAGTTTGATCAATTAACGAGCGATATATTTTGCGCTATTAACGCGTAAGCGGAGATTTAATCTGCTTTAGAAATCGTTCTAAATTGATTTAAGTAAGCCGAAATGCCATAAGTGATTTGTTAATACAAAACATTATCAAACAGTGAGTAGAAACAAGCTGAGTCAAACTCAAGGAAAGCGCTGCACCTATTTTTAAGGAAAAAACAAGCCTCATTTTTTCGTAACAAAATAACGAAATCATAGAAAATTTTGATGCATTAAAATTTTTATTTTTTTTGTCATTCAAACTAAAAAAAATACAATAACTCCTATTTTATCTTTTCGAACAAAATTAAAAAATCACCTGCTTGATAATAAAAAAACTAACACTTTATAGTTGCACACTTTATCAGACAAACCTATTTCTCTTCGGCCGAGATGGTTAAAATTTATCGTTGTTTGTTCAAAAAACAGAAACATCGAATTTTGATTAGGTGGAGTTGATCGAAACAACTTTTTGTTGCGGCTCGGCTCATGCAGAATATAGTTTCCTTGAAACAACACCGATCTAGTTTAGTCACCTACAACTTCATTTGAGAATTGCCTAACACTATATTTCGACCAATGATTTCTATTTTGCCTGAATTAGTTCATGATCGAGGATTGAAACGAAATCTGGAAAAAAATCACACAAACATAATATTTTCGAAAACTACCGTTTTTTATAATGGCATATACCGCTGATATGAAGAAGTTTTTTTTTCGTTTCCAAATCGCTCACATAATAACTCCGAAATAAATAGAAGCTGCTTTAATTCAGTAAATTATATGCCATTGTCAAAAATGGCTGTTGTTAACTTTCAATGTTCTAAAAGCTAATACATTTTAAATCCTGGAATGCCGACTTTTGAAGCGGAATTTGGTAAAATAGCAGTGTTCAAATGGCAAAATTTCGTTCCCAAATTCTGATCATAAAAAATAAGCTGCCATAATTGTTTTTTTTCTCCTTCAGAATTCTTGATGAGGTATGAATATACAATGATATATGAGAGCGTTTGCAACTGGAACCTACGAGACGAAAAACAGTTATGGATCGACAGAAGAAAATAGGATTACGAGTAGTAAAACGATATCACACTTTTAAAGTCGGGCCGAAATCAGTGCAAGCGCACGATATTAACAATAAAACTATTCTTCGGAAAAAGGATGCGAATAAATAGATGAAAGCACAAGCATTTTGGCATAATTTCTACTATTTCAAATCGCAGTCTTGTTCAATAAAATTAAGAAAAAAACATAGTCTAATATATGAAAACTAGGGTTATTTGCATATATCAGATAAATCTTTGAAAAAACGAGTCGAAATAAAAATTAACCTCATCTCAAGTTTGATATCAAAACATAATCAAACACAGAGTAGGAAAAGACTAAACTAAGTCGAATTCAAGCAAAGGGCTTCACCTGATTTCAGGCAAAAAAAAACTAGAAGCCTCATTTTTTCTTAACAAAATAACGAAATCATAGAAAACTTTAATGCATTAAAACATTTTGATATTTTTTGAGACAATCGAACTAAAAAAAAACATTAACACCTGTGTTATTTCTTCAAAAAAATTAAAAACCCACCTGCGTGATGATAAAAAAACTAACAAAGTTAAATTTGCATAATTTGTCAAGTTCTGATTCAAATTTTTCATCAAAATGTCATTTTGTTGAGTTCAACGCCAATAAACCTATTTTTTTGCCGAGATAGCCGAAAAGTATTGTTTTTATGATCAGACAACAGAAACATCGGTTCTTTCATTAGGTGGAGTTGGTCGAAACTGCTTTTGTTTTGCGTCAATTTTTTCAAAGTATAGCTTCGTTGAGTCGAGCTCAACCATCGTGCTCACGCACCTACAACTTTATCTGAAATTTTTCAAAAGTTTCTTGGACTGTTCCGAGATTATCAGAACATAATCATTAACAGACAGTTTTGGCATCAAAATTAAAGTCATTAAATTTCACAGCCATTGCACAGTGCAAAAAGCAAAAAGCAAAAAATGCAATATAAATGGTAGAAGCAGAATATGAAAAAGTTGTGCGAACAATAAGGGAAGCCGGATGGTGTGCAAATAGCGTAGAACTTTCTGAATACGTTCGTAGTCGGAGTGTTGTTTGCCACTTGCCCACTATATGATTACCTTCATCAACTATTTCCATATTTTTATTCAGTTATTTACCCTAAGCTGATTTAGTCGAAATGAGAACATTTGGTGAAACTTCAATGTGCAGACATTGTCGCCAGAAATTTTTTTTGTTGATTTGCTCACTGTTTTTGCGCTGCTTTTTGTTTTAAAACAATTTTTTTTCAATCGCGATCAAATTTTAAACAAAAAAGTTTTCTCAGTCAAATTTGGAGTGCCTTCAATACATTTGAACACGTTTGAGGTTAGCTGTTCAAAAAGATTGATTTTTTATTCGGGACATCCCAAGTAGAGTTATCAAAATTTATATCCTGAATTAATATCCTGGTAATTCTAAGTAGAGTTGTCAAAACAAAAACAACAACGAGTTTCTATGAAGTCGAGCTTAGATTCCTAAACTTCGCAGCCAGTGCACAGAGAAAACAACAGAAGCAAAATATAAGAATAATTACACAAATGATAAAGGTAACCGATAAGATAAATGATGTGCAAAAAGCACAGATTTTTCTGAATACGATCATTGTATACTTTTTGTTCCGACTTTCGTAGCGAAATTAACGTGGTATTTGTGCTCCGGGTGGGTTTTTTCTTCAGACAAGTTTTGACTTTTTAACTAGCCTTTTTTGACGGAACTTTTTATCCCATTCAAAAGCTATTGTTGTCTTGAGTTTAAATCTGAAAAGCTATTTCACCTGTTATCTTTTTTTTGTAAATTTATGGGGCCTTATGGATTGCCATTTCGGCCAAGTTTTAACAATTAACGAGCGATATATTGATATACTTCGCGCTATTAACGCGTAAGCGGAGATTTAATCTGCCTTAGAAATCTTTCTAAATTGATTTAAGTAAGCCGATATGCCTAATTTGTTTGTTAATACGAGCAAAAGTAATCACTTTGTTCTTATTATGGCTTGTGGGGGGATGTTTTAGAAGAAAAAAAAAACATTTTTTAAAATTATTATTTATTTTCCTACATTGAATTTTTTCATGTTTTTACTGCTCCATCGACCCTAAAAGGCAGTCGGAACACTCAGGGCTTCACCCTGTACGAGCAATCTTGTTTCCCTTTTGCACACAACTGGCCATTTTCATCAGTCGTGTTTTTTTCCTACCTTAAGCGCAAAAAAAATTTTTGGTCGAACTGAGTCAAACTTTTTTTTTAACTCCCGAATAAAAAGACTGATCAGATCATTTGTTCTCGGGTTGGTATATCTCCCTGTTTTTCAATTTTTAGCTTTTAACTAGTTTTCGGGAAAGGTTTTTTCTACCAGTCGAAACGTATTGCTGCCTGGAGCTTCAATTTGAAAAGATATTTACTTCTGATCAATTTTTGTGAAATTATTGGGCCTTAAAGCTTGCCAATTTGGCAGTTTTGGCATAATTAACAAGCGAGTTACTTCATGCGTAAGCTGGGATTTAATCCATTTTAGTAATTGTTCAAAATGAATTGAGGCATGCTATTTGGTCCTGTTAATACTTTGCTTTAATGTATCACTTTGTAGTTTGAGAGGCACGTTGGATAAGGATATCCATTTTTTTGTTCTGAAAATTCCACAAATTTTCTCAGGGCAAACAATACTTCATAGGCTCTAAAAAGCAGTCGGAACGTTCAAGGCTTAAGCCTGATACAAGCAGTTTTGTTTGTTAATGATCTGAAATGGTCGAAAATAATGTCCCTAGTCGATTACGGTCGAATTTTTTTTTCGCTAAAACTTAGTCGAAACTTAGATTAGTTGGGTTGAGTCCGTAGCATAAATTGCAAACCTCGACCCGGGTAGTGAATTAATCCCGTGCAACTTAACAATTCCTAGTGGGCCGCAATTTTATGGTCTTTTTGAGGGGTTTTGGTAGGTTCGGACACCCAAAAGGGAGGATCCTATTTCTTTTGTGGAAACCTGCCTTCAAAAAATTCAAGCGTAGGAGGTCAAGTTTTACAAAAGAACGCGACGATTGAGTCCTCAAGTTCAATAAAAATCTACTGGTGGCGCACGTATTTAACACTAAAAAAAGTCAGAGTTTTCAGCATTGAGGTTGAAAACAGATTCATCCATTCATTGGCAACTACTATTTTTGACAAACTATGATTTATACCGTCCAATTCTGACTTTGATAACCGCATGTTATGAAACAAAATTGATCGTGTGAATATGGTACCAATAATTATAAAACAAATCTTTGATATTCATTATCTGGTACAAATCTCGAAGCACCCACCATAGAGTAATCTTTGCGACTGCGTCAGAAATTGTCAACAAAATGATTTATTATCAGTCACGATTTGCCCCATGTTGAATGTTATCGCTCATTACTTTTATAAATAATTCAAAACTCAGCAGTACTTTATAGTTTGATATAATTCATCATAAAACACTGGAGAAATATTGCCTGTAATTTAATATTAAATCAGCTTGATAATAAACTATTAAATCAGCTTGATAACTTAAAAATGGAGACTAAAAATTTGCTTATTTCGCTATGTCTTACCCTGATAATGCTTACTTTATTCGCACAAAGGTTGAAAGCTTTCGTCAAAATACCAATTCAGCAAAGCTCGCTTTGAGATGTTCAACTAAGTTTGCGACAATGTAGACACAAAATCGATCGTCATTTCATTGAGCGGATATCATCCAGTTTTTTGTCTATTTTTTGAAGTTTTGGGAGAATACGAACTTTAGCTAATTTCAGCACAAAGTTGCAACGAGACTGCTCGTATCAGGGCGAAGCCTTGAGTTTCCGACTGCCTTTTTAAATCTATTGTTCACTACATAGATATGATGATTTTTTCAATAGAAAAAGTTCAAAAGTTTTTTGTGCTTTTTAAAACTCATCCCCTATCTGCCATATAAACTACAAGGTGACAGTTTTTGATGAACCAATTTTATTTTTATTGATAGCGCAAAAAATATAATCTTGGAGCTTGAAAAATTAAACCTTTTTAAAAATTCTGTTGTGTATTTTGAAAGGAAAACCCTTGCATATGCCTTGCAAGATTTTGTAAAAGCATTGTTGAAGATGTCTAACATATTCTATTTGAGCAAATATTTTTAACTTTCATTCTCTAAACTGCAACAATGTTCATTGGTGATAAAAAAATGGACAGTCCAAAGGTTTTGGCTTCCAAAATATCTAACAACTGGAACTGGTTTGCAATTTTTGCAAGAACCTTTCAAGTTTATGAAGCCTGAACATTCAATCAGAAAAAAAACATGAAACTAGCACGATTCATGCAAATTTTGTAAGATTGCTGTAAGACTGCCTTCCTTAACCCTACAAAAGATACTTTCTTACACAAAAGGGCATTTTTCAAGTTGACTTGCGGCGAATCTTAATCCCAGAAAAACACTACAAAATTAGAAACCAAAGCTTTCAACCTTTTTTTTTCCACAGTGAACTGATTAGCAAAGTTAGTCAATTTCATTTCATTACTTGATGAAAGTTTTCAAATAAATGTTAATACATTAATATAAGCAAATTATCAAATTGCTTTTATCGATTGATCCCGACAAACAAATTCTCATGAACTATTTTGATGACGAAGGTCCAGACGTAGCTGGAAACTCAATTTTTGAATTAAAATTTGTAAAAAAAATGTAAAAAAGTATGTCGATATATGACATTCATGCTCTGCTGAGCTTAACAGATTTTAGTAAATATTTCAAAAGATTTACAAATACCAACGTTGGAAAGTTTAGTTCATAAGCAAGCTGAATAGACAAAAAAACTTTAAAATATTAGAAACTGAAGCGTCTCGTTTTAGAGTGGTATCACATTGAAACCGTTTCAGCCGTGATTCGAATACCGATAAAAAGAAAAAGTTGTTTAAAGGTCGAGAAAAAGTGGCCGGCTAAGTAATTAATCTTTTAAAAACAAGAGAGAGTATAGAAGAAAAATGAGTGAAATAGTTGGGTTGTTAACGTGGTTTTAGCAATTATCGACACCTTTTAGCAGATTTTTATCCGATTGAACCCCTTATGAACAATTACAAAAAAGTTTAAAAAAAGGAAAAACAATTTCAAATTAGTTATGGATAAAATATTTTAAAAAAAGTTAAAAAAAAAACATTTCAATTTACTTACGGATAAAATATCTGTGCCATTCTGCCAGTTTGGCACAGCGCAACCTTCCGGCGACACGAAAGAAAACGAATAAAGGCCTTAGTAAAGAAAAATTACTGCGAAGGAGGGTCTAGATATTCCGAAAATTTGAATTTTTAACATTTCGATTGACGGGCTAATATTTCTGAGAAATACAAAAAGACGGCCATTATGACTGAAAAGGACGAAAAAACAGAACAACAACAAATATAGTGAGAAACGGTCGTGCGGGAACACGAAGAAAACGGAGTCTCTTATCGTGGCAATCGAGGGTTAGGTGGGAAGTCATGAGCCCGCTTGTCCCAAGGTCCCGGGACCAAAAACAGTTAAAGAGAAAGCGTAAAACCAAAAAAAAATAGTGCATAACCAAGAAAAAGCCAAAAATAAATTTATTTGAAAACAAAAAAAAGTACAAAAAACAGCAAAAAATCCAAAAAAGACCAAAAACAGTACAAAACATAAAGTGACAGTTTATATGTTATTTCCGGACGAGATGTGATCTGACCTTCCTATTTTTTGTTGTTTCAGATTGATTTATATCATTTCTGACAGAAAGATTGTGTGTTTTGGTGAAGGGTTGGATACCCTCCCTTGAGTTGTTTAATTTGAGTATTTAAGCACGTTAATGGTGATTTTGCCGGTGGCCGGAGGGTAGAGTGGCAAGCTGACCGACGTGTTCCACACTCAACAAGGACATCAGGGACAACATCCACAACGACTGTTGGGTATCGTTGAAACAATTTTGGTATCGTTCGGGTACTATTTCATCAAAACTTAAGTGGTGGGGGGCACGATTGGCGCGGTCCGATTGTACTCTTCATCGATTACAAATTTCCGAGTTAAGGGTCTTAATTCGGGTATTTTGGTGCAAAGGAGGGTATAGTACTATTCATTAACGACTACTAATAGGTTATTATCCTTATTATATATTACTTATCTCCTAATTAGACCCAAGAAACAACCAAATTTAATCGAAAATTATCGATTTTCGACCAAACTGTAGACCCCCAAATTTTTGGATATCCGAGGTTTTCCGAACAGCAAAAACTTTTATATAGGGAGTAGCTACATAGTTCGATCCCCCTAACTAAAGAAATCGCGTGAGAAAAGACTCAGTAGAAGTTGGAAAAAACCAAAATCTTTCGATCAAAATTTCAATAATTTTCTGAATTTTGTCAATCTGTTTTTGGGATCGAGTTTTTGAGTTTTTAGAGTTAGAGCAATAAATTTTTTTGTATTAGGAGCGTGCTAGCATAACGTGCTCGGCTGCCAGAAAAATTCTTGAGTAACCCTCCGATTAGCTCCGTGGATAGATCTAACGACTTAAGGATTGGAAAAGGAAAGAATCGGAGGGTCCAAATTTGATAGTTATTGGCCAAATTTTTGTCTCCAAACCAATTTTGGTCCGGTTTGTTGCATTATTCCAGTGCCGTACAGGGCTACTACGCTCGTTTCAATTATTTTTAGGCACTTTCAATAGGAATTGCGGAAAAAGTTTCTCAGAACCTATATAGGTGGTGAAAAAAGCCCATTTGGACAAACACGTTTTTGGCAATTTCTCAAAGACTAGCCAATCAATCGGGATAATTTTGGTACCATAAGTCGACGTTTTGGACCACTTTTTCGGACCGCAACCGTTTTTGGGTTGATAATCTCGGAAAAGAAAAATTACAGGTAACCCTCCGAGCGGCAGAAAATTTTATCAAAACACCTTTTTATCCTACTGGGAAAGTTGAACGTGTCAGCCAACCTAGTTTTAAGTCAGGTGGACTGCTTTTGGAGACTTTATCGCGGTAACATAACCCTTTTTCTTGATTTTTGGGGAACCCTCCGAAGTAACCCTCCGGAGTCAGCTAAACCCCTTAGCAACCCTCCTTAGTGGAAAACTTCCACGAGATCATCCAAAGAAGTTAAAACAGCCCCCCATAGAGAATTTAGCTTGTTTTGACGCTTGCTGAAGTTAATTGAAGGCCCTTCTAAGTGAGGTTCAGAAATTAGAAAATTTTGGAAGAACCCTCCGAGGTAACTCTCCGGAGCATATTAAGCCTCTTGTTGACCCTACTTAGTGATTTAAGGGGGACCCTCCGAAGTCTCTTGGGTGACTAAGGTACCCTCCGAAGTAACCCTCCGGAGTAGGCTAAGTGTCCTAACAACCCTCCGAAGTAACCCTGCGGAGTGACTTAAATCTTCTAACAACCTTCCTTGTTAGAAACTTGAGGAAACCTGTGGCAATTTGGGAAACGGAAAATATCCATTTAATTAAGATCATATTAGGATATTAGGCGTGCTTATTAGGATCATAGGAGCCCATTTTGACCCGGAAATTTGTGATCAACTTTGGATTCTAGGTTGGGTGTATCAGAAGTACCCGAACAAAAATTTTTTTTTGGTTGTGATTTTGGTTGTGTGGTTGCCTTGAGCTACTTAATAGGAAAATTCGGGCAATCCGGGAACAAATAAAAGAAGACCTCGGTGAGTGTATTAGGCAAATACACACTCACTTGAGAAGAAAAGTTGTTCCCTGCTCTCGTGCACTTGGAGCGTTCCGGGTGTGGGGGAGCTTTTTCATAGACTTTAGAAGTTTTCGATCAGAGGTTGCCTTGAGCTACTTAATAGGACAGCTCGGGCAATCGCAGGACACCTAAAAGAAGACCTCGGTGGGTGTATTAGGCAAATACACACTCACTTGAGAAGACTGTGTAATGGGCTTCGTTCTTTCGGATCGTTCCGATTGAGGGAAGTCTTTTTCTTTAAGACTAAGTTTTATTGATCTGTTTCTGAATCATCACTGCTTTTACCAAGGATTGTTTGATTTTAACAAAGCAGTGACTTGATAAATTGTGTGGCAATAAATTGATACTGACGAAAGATCACTGTCACCTGTAGGATATTCTTATCTGATTATCGATTGTGTTTTGTGTGTTGATTATATCTTGTGAAAATTTTGTGAGACTGTTATACTATACAACAGGGTTGAGTTAGCATTATATCAGTACTGAGCAGGCCCTGTGTGTAAATTTAGCTGAATCGCTAAGATTGTCATTGAGAAATCTAATAGACATTCTTGATACCTATGAGATCGAAGAGGCAGCGTTAAGTAATTTAACTTGAACTTGTTGCGGCACGTGTGCATCGCCATTAAATAATAAGAATATTGTTATTTGTCACAAAGTATTCAACGCAGGGACTCGTTAGGATCGACTACCAAGATTCCCAGGCTGAGCAAGGGCATTCGAGGTCGAGCCGCGAGAGGAAGTGTTATTCAAGGGAATGTCCAAATCGGAGACCAAGAGTCATAGGTGGAGGAGAGAAAATTCACATTCAGCTAATACCCACTCATCCCTGGCCAAGCAGAGCAACAACGCGATGATGTCGAGTATAAGCCCGAGTGAAGAACAACAGGGTTCGAAGGCCAAGAAGAGCTGGAAGTCTTTGTATGATGAGCGCATGGCGTCACTACGAACTGAAGGTTTATCTTCCAGTTATGACTACCCGGAGATAACCCATCCGAATGTGAACTTCACACCGTGCCCAATGAACGACATGAGCAGGAAGGCGTCGACCGCCTCGCCGACCAGGCCCATGTCAGATGGTATAACAATGGGAGCGTCATCAACGTTCGACAGATTGATGACGTCGATGAGCAAGCAAAAAGGCGGTGCGTCATCAAGCACCAGGCTGCAGCCGCAGTTGACCTCATCTTCTTTGGGACTAACCCCGTCGTTTGGGGCCACTGGCGATATAAGCGACATGTTCGCTGGCGTAATGAATGGTCTGGATGAACTGAGACGGGACATGACTAAGAGAATAGATCAAGTTGATGAGAGAGCTCACCAAGGTCGAGAGAATCTGAGAGATAAACTAACGCACGTGAAGTCGCAGGCGAGGGTTGATCAGGCTCAATTGATTCGCAAAACCGATCAATGCCTGGCGGAGAGCCTGGCACAGGCAAACAAGGAGTCACACGAAAGAGAGGCTAGGATGACGAGGGAGATCGAGCGATTGTTGAACGATCATGACAGTACCTACGCCCACACGATGACTAGCCTGGAAAAAAAGGTTAGATGCCAAATCTGACTTAATGATGCGGAAGCTTGACGCGATCTTGAACAGGGGCAATTGGGAGGAGCGTTCCAACCCAAGGGAGCGCTCACGCCATGCGAATGATGGAGATGGTACGGGCAGCTATGCCAGAGCCCAGCAAAGCTCGAGAACGAACTACGAACCTAGGAATAGGGAGCGGCCAAGGGCAGCCCCGTCGAGGCCTGGCTGGACAAATCCAGTCCCGCCGGAGGCAGATGTTACTCCG